GAGATCGTCTGCCTATAACTGGACAGTGGGGGCAGGTTTCCCTGTGAGTGACATGAGCACCGTCATCTTCAGAAATGAAACCCATTTGCAGCTTCTTGACATGGGCTAGCTTATTTCTACTGAAAGTGAGTTGGTAATGACATTAAGCAGTTGTTAGCTCTTGTATTATCATAAGTCACCAAAGAATTTATATGCCTGTCCCAAAGACTAGAAAACACTGGGGAGGAGAGATGGAATGGGATGGTAACAAACAAAAAAGATGAATTAAAGATGTCATATTACGGAGATAATATTGCCTACCTATATGGCTCGAGAGACCTAAATACCAATCTGTAAAGATCCAGGTAGTCACTGGCGCTTAGTAAGTACCCAGCAACTGTTAATCATTGTTAGAACTATTACTATTTTTAGAGGAATTTGTGTGGCTTAATACATATCACCTTTGTTCAACCTCACTCCATTCTGCCCCACCCCACAGATTATAGACAACAAATACAAAAAAAAAAAAAAAGCTAGATTTAAGTAAAATAAAGGCGTTTTAAATGCACATTAAGTCCAGTTACAGTATAGCTATATGTGAGCATCAAACTGAATGGATTTTTATTAAGTATTAGCCACAGTATATGCCCCGTGAATGTGTTGCATTGAGTTAAAATAAATATCCATCATAAAAAAATGTGCCCAATTTCAGGTCTGGAGGCTTTGTGACTATTTTAATCTTTTCTTTTTCAGTTTGAGAAGAAACTCCTTTCCATAATCATAAAACCATCATTCTGAATCACTTTTTTGAAACATTATCCGCAATGAGATGATAATGTTCCATGTAAGAGGTTCTTGTTGCAACAATCTCCCTTAAACCATTATCACAGTGCAAAGGCGTGGAGGAGCCGTCTGCGGCAGCATCAGGAAGCTCCCGAGCAGGAAGGAGTGGCAGCACCAGCGAGGGCCCTGGAGGAGGGAGCTCGCTTGCCTGTCACCCGACAGTGCTACAGTCTCTTTTCTCCAAGAGAGCAATGATTGCTTCTTGCGTTGCCCACACAAGCCATATTAAGATACCAGCCTGCCATTACTAGCCTTTTGGTTTCAAACTGTTTTATAATTTTTGTCATGTCACAAACTGAAGATTCCTAACTAAGAACTGTGTGCATGCCCTGGTCTGCCTGGAGAAGAGGAAGGGAAAGAGGGTCAGGCCGAGGTATTTGGTGTCTCCTCTCATTTCATCCAGGAACTGTTCACTGGCCATCCTCAGTGGCGAGAGGATGTGACCCTTTTCTTCCTTGTTTTTAAGACTATAAAGATTTCTGAATTACTTTCATCACAATAAAGGGAGCAAAGTATATGTGGATGTTTTAGAACGTGTCTCAGCAGCAGCCAACCACGGGGACCAAGTCCAGATAATCATCTTTCAGGAGAGAAATCTACAATGACTAAATGCAGGAAGTGAGTTCAACGATGCAAATGTCAAAAGATGCTCAGTCTTGAGAAAGGTCCCAGTACTGCTACCTGAGGGCACAGGGCAAACACGATGGAAACCGAGGAAGGGGACAGGGGGCTCCGCCACTCAACCTCTCCCTGCCAAGTTAAAGGTGAAGAGTCTCTGAAAATTAATCTATCAATAATAAAAACTCTTAGAATGTTCAAAGAAATCTTGGTATCTAATACAGCCTTTGACCTTGATAACTGTGTAGGGAAAGGGCTATTTGAATTTTCATTTAAATGCAAATACTTAAAAACTACTTCTGAAATTAATGAGTAAACCTTTTGAACTCAGTAAGTTCTCACTTTTAATACACTTTATATTTCAGTAGTCAGATAATTTGTGGGAAATGTATCCAAAGGAAATCCTTAATGTCCTATATGCCATTGTTGTTATTAGATGAACTAATAAAGATCTATTTCCTCTTGTGATTATTCCAAATGCTGTAGCAAAGTTTCTCCCTGTTGGTGTTAATGGGAGAATAAAAGGATCAACCACCATTAGCACAAGCAGAGTGGTTCAGGTAGCACTGTGTAATGTAGATATTAAAGTCAGGCCATCTTTGTGCAGAGCTAATAAACTGACTGGTGCATTCAGGGCCAACAATTGATTTGTTTTTTTTGTTTTCCAATTTGCCCAGCTCTTTGACTAAAGGGACTTAATTAACCAAGTATTTCAGAATCACACACAGGAAAGGTGTCATCAGCCCATATCCAATCCTTTCCTTTAAAAATATCAGGAAATATGGGCAAATTAGATAATGCGTAAATAATACTTGGAATGGAAATCTATTAAAATTCTAAAAAACACTCTACATGAACATGAATGAGAGAAAGTGGCCCTTGGCACACACATGTACACACACACACACACACACACCACATAAAAACAAACAGCTATGATCCCTTGTCTATGGTTGCAAAAGGTTAAGAACACATTTTTCCTTCATTGATCCTGATTTCCCATCAAGTGATTGAAGGCATTTAATTAATTCATTGCCTGAATCCTTCATTTGACTGGTATAGGTGGAATTCTTAAAGATATAAAGTAAAACACAAACAAACAAAAAAACCCCACAAAATATAGGGAAAGAAGAGTGAGAAAAGAAAATATTTTCAATCTTGTAGAACTGGTTAATGGACAGGTAAGGGGAAATTAAGGTACACTTTGCTGACATTTTCCTTTCCTTATATAAAGAAGATACAGAATAGCCCTGTAAATGCAGAAATAAGCCCCAAATCTGTGAAAGCAAAAATAATTTGTTCCAGTGCTTACAAAATAAATAGATAGATTGCCTTTACTATTAGAATATTCTTATCAAGACTTTAGGCACTCTTAACTTTCCTGGACATCTGAACAAATGAACAACCATAACTTTGTCATGGATTCGTACTGAGGAAACTATAGCCCTTGCAAGAAAATGCACAAGAAGCAAATAAAGATGCTACGTTTTACAGCTAGGAATAAAATCTATGTTCTTTCCATTCACTAGGGGAAAATGAATGTATTTTGAGCCTAAATAGTACTATCAGCATTAAATCAAATTTAAATCCCTTTCTTAAGACAGAAATAATTTCAAATACTTCCAATTTTACAGTGGATGCCTTTGCCTGTTAGTTTGTGCACAGCTGAGTGTGAGTTGCTTTATGAATTCCTAGTGGTGTATTCAGAGTTCTTAGGTCTGAGTACAGGGCCTCATCTACAGACACAAGAAAATTGCACATTAAAACATTACTTTGAAATAACATTAAGGATCTGGCACAATGCAATAAAAGCAAGTAATCTGACTAATAAAGAAATCTGACAACTCTCTACCACCTCTTCTAACTGAATCGTTGCAGATTTAAAATGGGGAACGCTTTGTGCTACTGCCTCAAATTTGTTGTCCTTAGAAGTCTATTTATTTTGTTACTTCCTTCATAGTATCTGACTAGGTTTTCGTATACTTAACTTGCCTTATTCTTTCCTTCATAAAACAGAAAACAAACCTAAAAGACATGTAATGTCAGTTCATTGCTTAGGCAATCTCTCTGGAAAATGAGAGTTGCATAGAAGTGTTAACGTCATTTACATATGCGTCGTTTCCCTTGAACACGTCTGGCTTCCTGATGCCATGAATCACCTCCTAGTAGAAACTCTGACCTTTTGATGAAATACACCGAAGTGCATTTCAAACAACATTATAGAATCATTAGACCCCAGTAGCATTCTAGGAACTGTTTCAGTTCATCATTCATATGCCGAGGCATATGAGAACCCTTTCCGAAATAAATCTTTCATCTTAAGTAATAGAGAATGTACACAAAGTAAGCCACTTTTGAAAAAAAATCTTGGCACGAAGTGTTTACGTATAAGCTTGCCAGTGTTATATTTATTCTGAACGTATCTGTCTCAGGCATAAGTCTATAAAGCAGAAGTCAAATGACATGAAAAACTATATTTTCCTATTGTTATTTGTTATGTGTTCCTCCTTTTGGACGCCCCTTAGTGAGTGATGATTGAATCCAAACATTTTTATAACAAAGGTAAAATCTCTGAAAAACCAAGGTTTGGGGTAAGAAAAAAACAGACTCTTACCCAAGACAAGGCAGAACCATTGCTCCAGAACATCAACACAATAGTCTTGTTTGTTTGTTTGTTCTCAGCTGAGAGCCAGAGAACCCATATAAAACAAAAACAGAATTGCTGCAGGTTACGGCACATAAAAGAATATCAATTGTTTGGGGACAGTTACCATATTTACTTATAAAACCAGATTTTAAACTTGAGGTTATGAACATGTTATAAAATGTTAACAGCTGGATAGACTGTAAAATATGCATTATCTACACATGAAAAAGTGACAGCTATAAATGCTAAAATTCTGGGTCTGTTGGCATTTAATGGCATCTTTCCCCAGTCCTGATTTCTGCGTGGGGTGGGGGAGAAACAGAAAAGGAAAAACCTGCTCTGCTGAGCTTCTTTCCTCCCCAAACAAATGATCAAAACCAATGGAACCAAAACTCTTCTTTCTTGTCCCAGTGGTAGATATTTACCTATCTGCATCCCTAGCAACTGAAAATAGGAACATTTTCTGCCAATCAATGATGCCCTCTGTCCATCAGATAAATACATTTGTGTGTTTGTTTCAGCTTCCTGGGTGTTTTCCATACAGTGATACAGCAAAGGGTCTTTCCCTACCCATCCCCCACCCACCCCACCACCCCCAGGGAAGGGAAGGGAAGGGAAGAGAAGGGAAGGGAAGGGAAGGGAAGGGAAGGGAAGGGAAGGGAAGGGAAGGGAAGGGAAGGGAAGGGAAGGGAAGGGAAGGGAAGGGAAGGGAAGGGAAGGGAGGTGTCATGGAAGAGGAGGACTCCTCAGGTTCTTACAGTTGTACCTCCAGGCCTCTGGACCCTGGCAAGGCCAAACATCATGGTGTGATGCTTACTTCGGTTTGGTTAAGTCCTGTTTTCTGCAAAGGCAAGTAAAGGTGACTTCCAAGTATCTGGTCCATTAAAGAAAAAAGAGAGAAAAAAATATTTCTAAAAAGGTTAAAAAAAGAAAGAAAGAAAAAGTGCTTGAAAATAATTCCCAGGGACTTATCTTGGGAGGAGAATCCCATGTGCAGTGTGCCGCCCCCCTCTAGTGTCTCCTGCCTCAGCCGACAAAGACCTTGGTCCAGGCTCTTTAGCAGGGATGGTCCTAAAAGCCTTGCTTTAGGGGGAGCAAAACTTATTTTAGTGGTTTCCAGTGAAAGTTGTATTCCTTGACATGTGGTCCATCCACCTCGGCCTCGGAGACCTCACAACTTTTTGGCACTGTCGTGGCCCGCTGCTGCCCGGATGGTGGTCCCAGCCAAGCCTCGGTTGCTGACCCTGCGGACGAGCACTTTGGACACCGGGATTTTTGTTCTGGGCACTTCGCTCCTGGCTGGTTGCTGGTGCACCACAGGGTGGCTGGATGGAAGGTTCGCCAGGTGCTTGACGCTGATTGGGATTTTAGAGTCCTTCAGCAAACTGCCGGGTGTTCGCAGTGGACAGGTGATGGTGACAGGAGACACGGGCTTTAAGCGGGACACGCAGGACGTCTCCTCGTTGGCAGGAAGGACTGCTGGGCTTCCATCGGGATCCGTGTAGAGATCGTAGAGCGCATCGCCGCTGTAGCTGTCCCTGGGGATGCCCGCCTTTTTCCCGCTGCTTGCGCTGTCTTCCTCGGGGCCTGGAGTGGTGGAGTCCCAGTAGCCCTCATCGCTGTTGGGGACACCTTCTTGCTGCTCCTTCTGCACGTGCTTCAGCTCCTCCTTGGGATGGGACTCAATGGGAATCCGGTTGAGCCTCCTGCGCTTGACCAAGGACACATCCTTGGCCGCTTCTAAACACCTCGTGTCTTTGGAGGTCTCAGGTGCCACCTTGGCATCCAGTGCTGCCGCCGCCTTTGCCAGTCCCTCTTGGGGCTCTTGTCCTTGGTCCTCAGTCTGGGAGAGCATGTCCCAGAATTCCTGGAGATAGGTGTCGTCCACCTCATCTGGGCTCGCCATCTCTTCCCCTCCTCCTTGGTAGGCCACCACGCTGGGGTTCTTTTTAGAGACAACTGGCTTGCCTGGCCCGGGGACATGCTTGTCACAGCTGGGGCCTGCCTCGTCCTCTTGGTCTGCAATAATATCTCCACAGCCTGTAAGAGAGTCAAAGCTTTTCAGTGAAGTCACGTCAGAAAACATCAAACAAATACGATCGGTCGATGGGTCTGAGGGTGGATCAAGAGAGGAAGGGTCAGGGACGGCAGACGCCCGGCCGCTGCCACATTCGGAGTCGACAAGGGGGACAGTCTTTATCGGAACGTCACCTGTCCTGGAAGCATCCTCAGCCGTCTGGACCTCCCCAGCGCCCAGCTCCGGAGGTGCCCGGGGATCCTCGGCGCGCCGATGCCCCGCGGCGTCCTCTCCCTGGGCGCCGGTGGCGGTAGGGACCCCGGGGCTCTCGGCCTCTCGGCAGTGGGGCACTTCGGCGCGATCGGCGGAGGCCGGCGCCGGCTCTCCCCCTCCGGGCTCACCTGCTGGGTCTGGCGGCGCGTCCCTGCTGGGGTTCTCCGGCGCGCACGCAGGTCGGGGCGCTTCCTCCGCGACGCACTCCAAGCTGGCGGTGAGCGACCCGGGCAGGGCGAGGCCGCCCGCGCCCCCCGAGCGCGCCTGGCGTTCCCCCTCCTGGCGGCGCTTGTCCTTCCTGTGCCAGCGCACACTGCTGAAGAGCCCTCGCAGCCCCCTCTTTTGTTTGCCGCCAGCCTTGCCCGCATCCACGGCGTCCCCTTTGCCATTTTCGGATCTCCCGTTCTTTTTCAGAAGGGAGAAGAAGCTGTGTGACTTGGCCACAGAGCTGCTGGCCAGCGAGCCCACGCCGGGCCCGGCAGCTCGCGGGGGAGCGGGGTTCGGCCGACCCCCGCCGCGGTCACCCCCGCCCCCGCCGCCGTCGCCCCCGCCTCGCGGCTCTTCCTTTCTGCTGCCCTCCAGCACCACCTCGGCCAGTCCGTCGTGGGTCCTGCTCCTCACCATGCCCGGCGGACCCGAGCCTTTCCCATCCCCTTTGTTTTTGACCCCAAATATGCTGGGCATGGTGCCACCCGATTTCCTCTTCTTGAATAATTTGAAAGCAGCTTTGTTAATCTTTCCCGACGGCTGCTCGGCGGCCGGAGTTCCGGCAGCACAATCACAAGGCAAGTCCATGTCTGCCGCGAGGGTCCCGGCACCGGCCTCCTCCTTCCTCCTGCAGACCCCCGTGGACGCGCCACCGCCGCCGCCGCGCGCGCTGACAGCCCCGCCGCCGCGCTCGCTCGTCTCCATGGAAACCGAGCGGGATCGGCGGCTTTCGTCAGCCGTGGGCTCGCGCCAGGCCACTGTCATCCGGATTCTAAATCAACCTGAGCCACTCTGCTGCCGCCGCTGCTTCTGGAACACACAGAGACACCATCTCCCCGCCCGCCGAGGGCTTATGTAACACCCTAACCCACTACGGATCCCTCTGACTCGCTTTGCGCTGTATCGTGTGTGTGTGTGTGTGTGTGTGTGTGTGTGTGTGTGTGTGGCAACAGAGCCTCCAGCTGACTGCAGAAATTAGGGTCGTAATTATGGAATCCAAATCCGATCCAATCTTACCCACCTTCAGATTCTCCCCCCACCCCCCAATCCAAACAACACAAATACTTAGTCCTTTTTTTAATCACCTATCCTGGATTTCATGCATCTTTGTGCCTTTCCCAGGCCCTTCATGTGTGTCTTTGACATTTGGGTACCCAGCCCAGCAGGCATGGAGCCTGTCTCTTTACATTTGTGTCTTTTCCGGTGCTGAACACAATCTCCAAGTCGATGTTTAAATCTTATTGTTGCCGGTTCTCATTCTCGCTACAAAAACACCAGCCATCAAATACCCATTAGCAACTCTCTGCAAGGAAAGTGCAACAGTTCCGTGGATGGAAGTTGACTGGTCCTTTGGGACAACCATGGCTTTTATCCCAGACTCCAGCTACTGGGGCTGAGGTCACAGAAGCCACTGCCCAGTCTCTATGCGGTTGCAATCAAGTGAGCTGAAGAAATAATCTCAGGTCACTTCTCAGAGTCTACCTTCTTTTCCATCTAGCAGGTCGTGGATGTTACTTTTGACCTTGCTCCTGCCACTCCCCTTCAACAACCCCCCACCCCCGCCGCAGGTGTATTGTGCAGCCCCCTTCTCCTATGGGGCAGGAAGAGCTGGGCAGGGTCCATAGTGCCCATGAATCCCTGTGGCTACTTGATCTGGGAAGAAGAAAACCTTATCTCAGGGAACAGCCCAACCTAGGAATCTCTTCTATGCTCTGACTTAGAAGGTGGCTGCTAAATTGTAAATCTGATACTCGATTTCATGATCCTGGCTAAGGATTTTTTAGCTAACAACAACAACAAAAAAGTGGAGAAGAATGTATATATATACATATATATACACACATATGTATTATATACATATATAATTCCTCCTGTGTTTATATATATAAAATTCTGTTTAATTTTATATATATACAAGATTTCTATTTGTTGAATGTTATTTTTAAATGTGTAATAATGTGTAATATTTGTTATGTATTATAAATTGTTATTTATTTAATATTATTTAATACTATGTAATCTTACATATATACAAATATCATTTTTTTCCTGAATAATCTTGAACTTCATTTTTGTATGCTACTTGCATTATACCCAGAAACCCTAATCGCTATCCACTGAAACGAGTTTTACTAACAATCGTTGCATGGAACACAGTTGATCTGAATTTTGGCCTTGGAGTTATTACCTATAAACTTTCCCTTTACAAGAACACTGTTTTGTAAAATTAAGAAATCAGTGAGTTTAGATTCAGGAGAGGTTTGCATTCCCAGCATCGCTATCCCATCAGCTCTCTCCCACTCAGCCTGCACCCCTCCCAGATACCGTGTGAGGCTGAGACCAGAGAGGCTGTTCCCAAGCCCAGCTGACCTCTTGCCACGATGAACCAGGGGCCTCACTGCCTTGGGGAGACGACAGGTATGAGGAACTATAAAGTGAAACACATTCGTTATCGCTCCACAACCCTTTAAGGACAGTTAAAAATCTTTTTCAATTCTTTCATACACACCACACAATTGCTAAGCTATGTGGGTTACTACATAACTGTGTCGGTCTGGACGAGTTCATGACTGGGAGACTGGGGGAAACGCAGGGGTCTATAAATATCTTCCGTTCTGCAGCCAGAGCAGAGCTGGGAGAAGGCAAACTGCTTGTTCCACTGGAGCTCTGACCCAGCAGAACAGGCCATTTACATGAGAATCCTCAAGCCCCCTGGGAGAAATGTGGCGAGGACTGTGGGATGGATATCATTCCTCTGGGACAGAGACATCCAAACAAAGAGAATGGGACAAAGCAGTCTTCATTCCGGGAAGGTGCCCCAATGACGGTGGTAAGTCACTGGCGCCGATGTAGAAGAATGTGAGGATCCCCAGGACCATCAAGACTTGAAGATGAGGGGCAGGGTGAGCTTTAGAAGCTGCGTGTGAGTGAGGACCCTCCCATGTCCTCCAACTAAGGTCGTTTTCACAGATACCATCATAGGAAGGCCGGTGAGGCCAGCCTACGAGGACCTTCCTGGAAAACCCAGATGAAGAGAACACCTCCCAGCCCCACCCCCTGGGGGCGGGGCCTGAGTCCTGTCAAACTGTTGGGTGGTAGAGGCCACTGTTAGGAGCCAGTACAAAGGTGTACCTGCCCCTACGTTGCTCTTCACTGTCCAGCATGGGAAGCAGACTGCATTTGCACAACATGGTGATTTTTTTTCCACCCTGAAAGATAGATCCTGACAGTGAAGAAAAATTTACCAGAAGCTTCCCCTTATCCGGGTTATGGTTTCATCTTTCATCCTCCCCTCCCCCCGCCGCTGCCCACCCTGCCCCAGGTTAGACAGTGAACAGAAAATGCGATAGAAAGGGCTAGAGAAGGGGGCCGAGGGAAGCCGTTTCTGGAAAAAGCTGCTCCCGCATGGCAGGATGCTTCACCGTGTGCACAGCAAGTGGGTCCTGCCGGAGACAGCGCCTGCTTTTCTTCTGCCGCCAAGGGAGGGTTTGTCTTCAGTCAGGGCTTGTCTCTCTGGGTAGCTAGTGTCTCTGGAGGAGGAGAAATCAAAGCAAGAAAAAAAGAGAAACACAGGAGGAATAATCTGAGAGCTTAACATCATCATCAGTTCCTTCTTCAGGGTGTCTTCAGCCAGCCTGGCCCCTGCCTTCGGCCTACGCTCACTGAGTGGAATTTTCTCTCGGAAGGAAACCACCCCGAACACACTGTGGAACAGGCCAGGTGAGCAGCTGCCCTTGGAGCTTTGGCTGCTGCTGTGGAACTCCCCATGTCACAGTATCACCAGAAAGGAGGCCGCTGGCTTGTCCTGAAATGTGCCTGAGGTCTTCACGGCCATAATGCTTAACCGATGAAGTTTGAAAAGGGTACTTGAATTGGTGCCAACACTTCCTGTCTCCAGAACTCTTAGCCTGCTCGAGACTCTGGCCCAATCAGAAAGGCCAGCTGTCTGTTCTTGTCCTTCTCCAATCCCCTTGCCACCACGATTATCGTCCAAGGCGAGTTTTAGAAGCTCTGCGAACCCAGTGAGGACACGCAAGTGTCCTCCGACCCAGGGTCCCTGTTATGAAAACTATCAGGAAAAGCCCCAGCTTTGCTGACCTTGACCCTCACCCCCCAGTCCACTCTGTCCACATATCCAAAGCCTGCCTTGCCCTCTGAAGGATGCTGTGGGCCTCAGACAAGCTGAGACCACAAGGTGAAGTGCACAGTTGCCAGGACAGATGTGTAGATGTCCCTTGCAGGGGGCCTGGCTCAGGGGGTCAATGCTAGGCACTTTCCTGTACCCTCCTTCCTGGGGACAGCTCTAGCCCAGGTGGGCAGGGTGAGGACTAGAGAGGGTTAAGTGCAGTAAGCCCTGAGCTGGATTGAAGTTTTTGCTCTCTTTTGCAGAGTTTGATTCCTGCTTTTTCCTGAACATCAGCTTCTCTGTGAGTTAATAGCTATTCTGGGTATATGTTTATTCAGAGGAGAAATTAACTTCTAATTACTAACATGCGAGTGTAAAAAGCCCCGCACAACCTGTAATTTTACACGTTAGCCCTGGTGCACAGCCGAGGCTGCTGAGGGACAGCGCTCATCTCGGGGACAGAGAGTCCCATGTTGGCTCTGGGTGACCGGGAAGCTCAGGACATGAGGTGTTCTGGTTCAGCAGGTGTCACCACTCATAAGATGCCACCTTGGCCTGGACCCCATGAGCATAAACCTGAATCCTAGGGCAAGGGCGTGCACAGTAAAGGTCCAAATAAAAGCGAAATGAGCAATCCTCTGTGATGCTGGTGGATCCCGGGAGGCACAGGCCATGCGGCAGCTGGCAGGGCTGGCACCGGGGCAGTTTCCATGCCTCTCGCCAGCTCTGGTTACTGCCGGCAACACTTGGGTTCTACGCACATCATTCCAAACTCCACAGCTGTCTTCACATGGTGCGCTTCCCCACGGGTCTGTCTCAGAAGGACAACAGTCACACGGGGTTGAGGGCCCACTCTGTTCCAGCATCGCCTTGTCTCAGTCGACATCTAAGCCGCAGCTGCAAAGACCCTATCTTCAAATAAGGTCACATGCGCAGGTACCAGGGGTTAGGACTTGAGTACATCATTTGGGGATGCAAGTCAGCCCACAGCAAGCATCATTGCCAGCAACAGAGACGGCACCTCACCTTCATTCCTGCAACTAGTCACCAGTGCCCTTGGCACATACATTGTTGTTGGGGGGTTCGCACTGGCTCCAGCAGTGTGAGCCCAAAGCAGGTTTCAAGGTCATGGATGGCATTCCCGAGTGGCCAGCAATGAGAGGCCGGTATCACTGCCAGCCAGAGTGAACAAGAAAGAAAGCAGTGATGGCCAAGAGGACTAGATCTCGCCACACATATCTCTGGGGACTGCCCAGGAGGAATGTGAAGGGGTCGTCAGAATTCCCCTGCAGTGGACAGGATGGAGCAGAACCACCACTGCGGCTGTTACTGTTCTATTTCCTGCGTGGAAGTCAGAGTGGCCCGAGAATCGTGTTGCTTCATGACCACTAGTTAATCTTCCCCATAGCTCCCTTTTCTCCTGGTCTGCTATTTGGCTAGAGATGCCCTTAGAAATATTCTCTCCGATTGCACAGTGGGTTGGGGTCTCTTCAATCTGTCAGCACCAGGGTGGGCATAGGGAAGCCAAAACCAGAGCAGAATGAGGTCAGATGGCAGAGGGTGTGTGGACAGGACGCCGGGGCTCTGGGCATGG